CGAAGGCCCGAGCGGTTGCGTTCGCATGCGCCCGCCGTGCCCATTTCGGCACACCCCTCACACGTTTCGTGGTCCCGTAGGGAGCTCCACTGCAGGCCCCAGTTCCTGCGTTCGCATGCGCTCGCCGCGCTCTTTTCGGCACACCCCTCTCACGTTTCGTGGCCCCTCTCACGCTTGTGTCCCAGGGCACCTTGATAACAAGGAGGGGAAGTGAGAAGGAGAAGGCCTTCTAAGGGGGCGGCGGGACTTCTCAGAAGGCCTCCTTCCTTCTGAGAAGGTTTCTTTGCCCTCGGGGAAGGCTTCAAAACTTGTCAGAAGGCCAGGGGACTTCCGAGCCTTCCGAGAAGGCCCGCACCTTTTCTCTTCCCCCCGGGGGCTCGCCGCAAAGATACACGGCCAAGACGTTGGAAATGAGGACCGCCTTGGGTTCCGAAGGGGATCGCTGCTCCTGAGGTCATTCCGCGGTTGCTCCTCTAGCCCTCCTCGTTCACCCAGGCTTGTTTGGAACCAGGTTTCTTGTCTCGCGTTCCTTGTTGCAGCAGCCCGGCTGTAGCTGTACTGATGCAATGGGTACCTATATACGTAGAAGACGGATTTGCCTTGATCTCCGGCGCGCCGGCTGGGCTGGGTCCGGAGCGCCCTTGGAGGGCCCCAGGACGGCCCCAGTGTGCCCCAAGAGGGTCCCAAGACAGGCCGAGAGGGCTCCAAGAGGCTGTCCAAGAGGGCCCCGAGTCGCCGAGCGATCGGGGCAAGACGCGCCAGATGGCTTCTAGACGACCCACGGGCCTCCAAGACGCCCCAAGAGGCCCCCAAGAGCTCTCCCAACAGAGACTCAAGAGGCACAAATCGTCCCATTCCATTGGGACATTTTTAGCAAATGCGATGTTTTGGCTTTCACGGCGTCCAAGACGACTGCCCCAGAGGCCTCCCAGATCATCCTAAGACGGCCCAAGAAGCCCCCAAGAGTGCCCAGAGACGCCCCAAGAGGGCCCCAAGACGACCCAAGAAGCGCCCAAGACGGCCCAAGAGGGCGTCAGAGGGCCCCCACAGGGGTCTAAGAGTGGAACTGCAATTGAGATTTCGAGCCCTCCGCTCCAAAGGGGCCCCCGAGACCGCCAGCAGGCCCCCAAGAGGCCCCAAGAGGCTCCCAGAGGCCCAGAAGAGGCCCCAAAAGGCTTTCAAAAGGTCCCCGAGAGGCTCCAAGAGGCCTCCTGACACGCCCCAGTAGATCTGACCTCGAAACTTACAAACGACCGTGCGCCATAGCCGTCCCAACCCGATTGTAGATCGAACCTAGGAACCAAGAAATACGGCGACGCTCAAACTGCCATCGTTTCACATACATGTATGATTGATGCAGTTGCTTATGTACTTATTTTATTTCCCCACATCCTGAGTGGGGTTCTTGTTTTCCCAGAACACCCTCTCCTTCTCCTCCTCCTCCCGCGTCCTTCTCCTAAACCATACCATACCAAGCCATACCATACCAATACCTTACTATACCAATACCATACCAAGCCATACCAAGCCATACCATATCAATACCATACCATACCATACCAATACCATACCATACCATACCATACCAAACCAATAACATCCCAAGCCATACCAAGCCATACCATACCAATACCATACCATACCAATACCCCTCCCACCCCTCCCACCCCTCCAGGGAGGCCCCGCCTGAGCGAGGAGGGTATTCGCATCACCTGTTATTTCTCAGGTTTCGTGCCCCTCCCACCCCTCCAGGGAGGCCCCGCCTGAGCGAGGAGGGTATTCGCATCACCTGTTATTTCTCAGGTTTCGTGCCCCTCCCACCCCTCCAGGGAGGCCCCGCCTGAGCGAGGAGGGTATTCGCATCACCTGTTATTTATCAGGTTTCGTGCCCCTCCCACCCCTCCAGGGAGGCCCCGCCTGAGCGAGGAGGGTATTCGAACACCATGTTATTTATCAGGTTTCGTGCCCCTCCCACCCCTCCAGGGAGGCCCCGCCTGAGCGAGGAGGGTATTCGCATCACCTGTTATTTATCAGGTTTCGTGCCCCTCCCACCCCTCCAGGGAGGCCCCGCCTGAGCGAGGAGGGTATTCGCATCACCTGTTATTTATCAGGTTTCGTGCCCCTCCCACCCCTCCAGGGAGGCCCCGCCTGAGCGAGGAGGGTATTCGCATCACCTGTTATTTATCAGGTTTCGTGCCCCTCCCACCCCTCCAGGGAGGCCCCGCCTGAGCGAGGAGGGTATTCGAATCACCTGTTATTTCTCAGGTTTCGTGCCCCTCCCACCCCTCCAGGGAGGCCCCGCCTGAGCGAGGAGGGTATTCGAATCACCTGTTATTTATCAGGTTTCGTGCCCCTCCCACCCCTCCAGGGAGGCCCCGTCTGAGCGAGGAGGGTATTCGCATCACCTGTTATTTATCAGGTTTCGTGCCCCTCCCACCCCTCCAGGGAGGTCCCGCCTGAGCGAGGAGGGTATTCGCATCACCTGTTATTTATCAGGTTTCGTGCCCTTCCCACCCCATCCAGGGAGGCCCCGCCTGAGCGAGGAGGGTATTCGCATCACCTGTTATTTCTCAGGTTTCGTGCCCCTCCCACCCCTCCAGGGAGGCCCCGCCTGAGCGAGGACGCTATTCGAACACAGTGTTATTTATCAGATTTCCTGCCCCTCCCACCCTCCAGGGAGGCCCCGTCTGAGCGAGGAGGGTATTCGCGAACAGTGCTATTTATCAGGTTCCGTGCCCGTCCCACCCCTCCAGGGAAGCCCCGCATGAGCGAGGAGGGTATTCGCAAACCATGTGATAGAAAAGGATGGAGAGGGCGAGGGCAGGTCGGCAATTTCTCTACAAAATGTTGCTTGATCCCGCTAGCCCAAAAACATCATTATGTGGGGAACTCCGTTAGCATAATTAACATCTATTTATAGGTATACATACGTATGTGTATATGTACGTATGTATTTGCATACGTACATACATATATATATACACACGCAGAGAGAGAGAGAGAGAGACAGAGAGAGAGAGAGAGAGAGAGAGAAAGAAAGAGAGAGAGAGAGAGAGAGAGAAAGGGAGAACCCAAACGCCTGGAACGAGAGGAACGAGAGGAACGAGGGGTTCCTAACCCAACCACGCAGCCGCCCCCCCAAACGCCTGGAACGAGAGGCGCTGCTCGAGCTGAACTACGTGGACGACGAGCGGGCCGCGCGCGTCGCGGCCGTGGTTGGCGAGCAGAGCCAGCGGCAGCTCCACGAGGAGGGGGGGGGGCACACCGCAGGGAGGCCGCAGCCGGGAGCCCAGAGACCCGCTGCCTCGATCTCTGCCAGCACGGCCTCCGCTCCTCCTCCTCCTCCTCCTCCTCCTCCTCCTCCTCCTCCTCCTCCTCCTCCTCCGGGGAAGATCCCCCGACCCTTCTCCCCCGGGCTGGCTCTGCCCTCCCGAGCTTCCCGCAGGCGGCCGCGGGGCCCGGCGATGGCCCCCCCGAGGCCCGAGGGGACGGCGGGGAGCCTTCTCGTCGCCGAGGTCGCCCGGCGGGGGCCGCGGAGACGGTGGCAGCGCGCCCCGCGCGTCGCGGCGTGGGCCGGAGCGGCTGCCCTCTTCGAGCGGCGTGAGGGCGCGAGGGCGCGAGGGCGCGAGGCTCATCGCGCGTCGCTCCTCGCGGGGGCGCGGCGTGCGGAGCTGAGGGGGGGCCTGCGGTCCGGAATCTCTGCTCGGCGTGTCTCTCGCCGCGGGTCCTGGCTCGCTGCGCTTCGGCGCGTCGCGCTAGGCACGTCCCGGGCCGCCCGCATCGGCGTTCCAAGCTTTTCCAAGCCTCCCGTCCCACGAAGCAGAGCGACACGCTATCAGCTCGCAGTGCACGGCGTGCCGCCCAGGCCGCCGCTGCGACACGCTAAGCAACAGTTCCTGACCGTGGGCCTTGATGTTCTTCAACACGCTAGAGGCCAGGGAGTGCGACAGAGCGAGGCGGGCCGCAGCTCTTTGCGGGGGCCACGGGCCTCTTCGCCAGGCGGCCGCGCTCGGTCTCGGGAGGGCTGGCGCGTGTAGCCGCCATCTTTTAACTTGCTCGCGACTTGCTGCTATACACAGACATTTACACATATGGAGACGTGTATATTTGGGTAGATATACGCTTGTAAAACTATAGATCTATGTATTTGTACATGTAGAGGTGTATGTATATGTATCTGTCCATGTACCTGTATGTGCATAGGAATACACACATATATGTATAAACATGCACGCATACATATATATACATATATATATATATGTCAATGCTTATAATTGTGCTTCTGGACCAATGCGCACATCTATATTCAAATGCTGTAGATGTATATGTATGTGAGTATGTCAATTTATGTGAGCATGTACATTAGGTGTTACTCTTTGTAGATGTATGTTTGTAGGTATCTCGATATGTATATTTGTAGTGTGTGTGTATGTGAGGATGTTCACGTATGTGTCTCTCGCTGTAGATTTACAGTCCGATTGTATTTGTTTGCGTCTGCATATGCATAACTGCACGCGTAAATGTATTTGTGTATGTGTATGTATGTGTGTATGTACTTGTAGATGTGTCTGCATACATGTGTGTGTATATGCATATGCAAATGTGCATGCATTCTCATGTGTATATGTATGTGCGTACCGATGTCTCTGTATGTGTACAGGTATACATGAAGGTTTACGTATAGATGTATGTATCTTCCTATGTATATATATATACACGTATAAGTGTATGTATATGTATGCGTATCTGTGTATCCGTACATATTTAAGTGGGACATGTATTTGTATGTATGTACGTATTCGTATTCGCAGGTGTCTGTATATGTCTATCTGCGTGTATGGTTATCTATGATGTCGATGTGCAAATAACTGTGTATACATACGTATATGTATGCGAATATGTAAGTGTATACCTCCTTGTACCTGTTCACGCACATGTTTCGGTATGTGTATATGTATGGGTATGCGTATAGGTACATGTCGATGTGTAGATATAGGTTTATGTAGTTGTATGCGTGTGTATATATATAAAAGTATGGATGTGTCTATATGTATGGAAACGTACATGTAGACATCTGCGTCTATTCATACGAACATGTACACATATGTGTAATCTCGTATGTGAATAAAGATGCATGCGTGCGTATATGTATGTATAGATGTTCATGTCTATGCATATTCACATGTACATGTATTTGTACATGTGTATTTGTAGGCATCTGTTGACTTGTATGCATGTCGCTGTGTTTGTGCTACGTTTACGTGTCTGCAATGTACATGTACATGTGCATGTACATGTAGCTGCATTCATTCATGTTCCTGCACATGTGTAGCTGCATGGTTATGTATATGTATATGTATATGTACGTGTATATGTATATGTGTATGTTTAGGTTTGTGTATATGTTTATGCACATGTATATCTGTACGTGCATAGGTATATGTATATGTAAGTGTAACGTTTTTTTGTTTGTGCATGTGTATGTGTATATGCATGTGCAGATGTATGATTGTATATATATGTATGTGAATATGGATATGATGTGCATGTGTACATGTATGTGTACATGCATGTGCATGGATGTATGCATTTGCAGTTGTACATGCATGTGTATACGCATATGTATATGCATATGTATATGTACATGTTTAGATATATGTATACACAGATATGTATATATTTATGCATACATACATCTATAAGTGTACTTGTTATGTATATGCGTACGTATATGTATATGTATGTGTATCTGCATATGTATCTGTATCTGTGCATGTACATGTGTATATCTATGTCTATGTACATGTATATGTATATGTTTATGTGCATGTATATGTATATGTCAATGCATATGTTTGTGTACTGTATATGTATATGTGCTTTATTGGCATTTGCATTTGTATTTATACATGTATCTTTGTTTACATTTATATATACATATATAGAGATACATGTAAATACTTACGTATGTGTATATGTGTATATGTACGTATGAGAGAGCGCGCCCGTGGCGCACTCCCAAAGAGGGGGTCCTCCCGTAGCTACCTTCCCCCCCCTTGGACCTGACCCCCCTTCTAGGTGGGGGAACCGGATCAGGAGGAGGAGGAGGACAGGGCGGTGGGACAGGTCGACCACCTCCGCCGCTGCCTGGGCCAGCTGGCGGCCGCATCCTTCGAGCTGGAGCGGCGCCGGGCAGCCGAAATGCGCTCTCTCGTGGGGGGGTGGGGTGGGCAGAGGCAGCTCGCTTCAGAGAGGGGGGGGGAGGTGCCAGGATTGAGGTTCGAGGTCTGAGGATACCTTTGGCCTTTTTGGGCATATCCCAGGGAGCTCCTCGTCGTCACGGCTGCATTCCCTTTTGACGTTCTGCCCAGGTTGCAGCCCCGGAGAGATTCGGTGGTCGGCTTTTGGGGGAGGGCTCAGACCTTCTCGCGTCGCGATAATAATCGCGACGAAATGCTTGAGGCAGTCTTCGGCCTCTGTGGGGCCCTTGCTGGGCCCCGGGTGTGTCAGAAAAAGGCTCAGGATGAAGAGCCTTTCCAGTGGAAGGGGTCGATACCTCCGAGGGTTCACGGTGTTTAAAACTCGCGGCATCGAGGGCCAGGGGAGAAGAGGGAACGGGTGGGAAGGGCGAGAAGGGAGGGTGGATGACGGGGGAGGTGGAGGCTTTATCCTCCTTCTCTTTCTCCCTCCTCCTCCTCCTCCTCCTCCTCCTCCTCCTCCTTCTCCCACTCCTCCTCCGCCTCCCCCTCGTGTTCCTACTCCTTGTCCCCCCCTCCTCCCGACGAGAGGTTGGGTGCAAATCAGGGCTGGTGCAGGCAGATCCCCCCTCACCGGTGCACGTTGTGTTTTGCACTTCAGCAACCCGCCTGCTCGACCTGGCCGCCTGGGCCCGCCTCATTCGACCCGCCCGCCAGGGTCGGCCGCCCGATCTGCCCTTCTGGCCACGTGCTTTCTGCTCCTAGGCCCCCCTCCTGCTGGTGTCTCTCGTGCTTCATCGTTCTCCCTCCCCCTTCCATCCGTCCTCTCTTCCCCTGTTTCAGGGGCTGCGCTACATGCAAGTGGCAGGTCAGGAGTCCATACCCCCAAGGGGGTCACCGTCGAAGACGAAGAGGGCAGGTACCGGGGGGTTTTGGGAAGTGCGTGTTGAACGGCCCTCGAGCGGATAGGCGCGATCAGTCTTAAAGTGTTTGTTGTTGTTGCTGCTGTTGTTGTTGCTGTTGCTGTTGCTGTTGCCTTTGAGCTTTCATCTCTATCGAATAATTCTTGTCAATCCCCCCTCCGGTAACCATTGCATTTTTCAATTGAAGTGCCCCCCCCTTCGGGGCTCGCACTGTATATTTTATCAGGGAGAGCTTGGTGTCACCACACTGCGTTGTTGGGCCGGACTACACCAACAACGGCTCCCGTTTGATATTTCCTCACAATGTATTCCAAAATCGTGCTCTCGCGCGGGGCATCCTCACAAATTATGCAGGAATCGCGCTCTCGCGTGGGACTTCCTCGCAACTTATTCGGACGCCGCGACCTCGACACTCAGGAATCACGCTGTCGCATTGGCTTTCCTCACGATTCACTTGGGAGTCGTGCTATCGCTTGAGCTCTCCTCGCGACTCATGCAAGACTCACGCTTCAGCAACACGCCTTCTCGACCTGGCCGCTTGGGCCTCCTTCTCGACCCGCCCGTTGGGGTCTACCCGTCCGATCTGCCCGTCTGGTTCTGCCACGTGATTTTCTGCTCCTAGCCTCCCTCCTGCCAATGCCGCGCTCCATCCTTCTCCCTCCCCCTTCCATCCGTCCATCTGTCCTCTCTTCGCCTGTTTCAGGGGCTGCACCAATTACTCGCGGCAGGTAATGAAGATATACCCCCAGGGGGGGTACGATCGAAGACGAAGACGGCGGGGACCGAGGGCTTGGGATATACGTGTTGACGGCCGAAGCTGGTCTAATCCACCCGGATCTCGCACGAAGTGTTACAGGTGCGCCGTATTATCAGACGAAGGATGTGCGCGCTCATGTGGAGCATTGAAAGCCATATGGAAGTGGCGCGATGTGCGCTTGTGGTGGTGGTTACAAAAAACGCTTGGTCTGGGCAGTTTCCAGCATTCAGATTCATAGCTATTTCGGTTCGAGACACGTCTTCGGGCACTCGGCCGAAGCTGGTCCAAGCTGGCTGGATCTCGCACGAAGTGGTACATGTGCGCCGCAGTATTGGACGACGGACGTGCGCGCTAATGTGGGGTATTGAAAAAAGTGGGAGCGGCGCGATGTGCGCTGGTGTTGGTGGTAAAGGGCACATCGTATCCTCAATGGGTGGGATGGGTGGAGGGGCTGCAAACCCATCTGTTATTCTCGTATTCGCATGCTGATATTTGCGGCGGAGTGCAAATGAATTGATTTGGTGGATTCCCATTATGGTGGATTGAACTGTTGATTCCTTTTGTGGACTCCTTGTGTAGGGGGTCACACGCGGATTCTTGTCGAGGGCGCTTGACATCGTGATAGTTTTGTAGCGACCTGCAAGTCGACTCTTTTTGTAGCCATTGGCAAATCGACTTTTTTTGGGGTTTGCACATTGTTTTTTTCTAGGGACGAGGAGAGAGAAGTTCGGGTTTGGGAAACGTCCTCAAGAGAAAGACGCGTGACCAGTGTATCCACCAGTTTATTTTTGCTGGGGGTGACATGCACGGCCTTAATGTAGTGGTTCCACTGGCTAAGCTTGTTCCCCTCGGTGGATCCCCCCCGTGCCCCAAATGTTCTTCCCCTTCCGTGACACAAGGGTAATGTGCAAGCTTCTCCGCAATAAGAATTCGATTGTGATCCGCCGCATTACGGACCAACATGTAACATGCCCATGACCCACACATGGATCGATGTGGAATCCAAACCACGTGTGTTCGAAGTGTAAGGCCGCCACGCAAAGGCTCTGTTTGCAATTCGCAGCAACAAATTAGCCAGAGGGAGGGAAGGAGGGAAAGTGACGCCAGGCGGGGATACCATGTAGAGCTGAAATCCATTGCGGCCTGGTTTGCACCTGGTGTCCCTCCCCCTCCTCGTCCTCCCCCTCCTCATCTCAGAAGGGAAACGGACGTGCCGACGCAAAGAATCGTCGAACACACCGACACACATAATCGTCAATTCCCTCGAAAACTATGGAAACATGGGAATTGAATGGGGAAAACGACAGTTCAGAAAATATGGAAGATATGGGGGATCCTGGGATTGGTCCTATTTATTCGTGTTCCTGGGCCACCCTCCTCCTCCTCCTCCTCCTCCTCCTCCTCCTCGCCCTCCTTCTCCTCCCGCTCCTGCTGCGTGCGCGGCTGCGGCATGGTCATCACGGGCGCTGGCGAGCAGGCAGGACCAGCGCAGAACTGACGAAGTCATGGACGGTTGCGACTGCACTCGGGGGCGGCAAGGAGGGGGTGATGACTAGGGGGGGTGGATATCATGCCGGGGGCCATGAGATCTCCCCAGATTTCATGCCGCCTCTTATTTCAAAACGTCCCTGGCCCCCCCTTGGGCCGCGCAGGTGCCGCCGGCCATGGCTTTCGCCCCCCCCCCCTCTCGGACGCCCCCATGTTGGACGCACCCGATGCACTCCTGTGGCTCCGTCGGCTTGCCCAGCGGGGCCCACACGTCCGCGACTTGGCGGGGTCAGCTGGGGCCCCCCCAATTGTGAAGAGGAGGGCGAGTTGAGGCAAGGTGGTTGGCCTTCGGGGGGGTCCCCTCGTCGCCACGGCCGGACGCAGCGCGGAAAACTGTTGTGCTTGGACCCTGGCAGTGGTCCGGTCCAGGGACCGATTTTGAGATGCCGTTGTCTCAATTCGCCCTGCTCCTGTTCTTTTCCTCCGAGCCGCGGAGGCTGGTGATGCTAGGGAGCCAGATGCGAACCCTACCCCTACCCCCCAACGATTTCTGAGGGGGAGGGTGGGGTTCACTTCGTTCGGGAGCTCCCGAGCAAAGTGACCCCCCCCCCCTCCCCCTCAGAAATCGTTGG